AGAGAGAGAGAGAGAGAGAGAGAGAGAGAGAGAGAGAGAGAGAGAGAGAGAGAGTGTGTGTGTGTGTGTGTGTGTGTGTGTGTGTGTGTGTGTGTGTGTTTTATCTGCAAGCATGTCTATGCACCACTTGTTGGCAGTGCCTGTTGTAGCCAGAAGAGAGTGTTGGATACTGTGCAACTGGGGTTACAGGCAGTGGTGAGCCATCTTGTGGGTGCTGGGAATTGATGGGTCCCCTGGAAGAGCAGGAATGCTCTAAATAACTGGGCCATCTCTCCAGCTCCTCTGTTTTCAAGATGGATTGATTCTGGGTCAGGAGATGCTATTGTCATTTCCACTTGTGTCCTTTGACTTTGGGGGTAGGGAGATTATTTGAATTCTCAAATGTCTTCACAGTAGAGATTTCAATAGTGCTATAACAGTGTATGTGCAACTTAAAAAATGAATGATATCTTAAAGCAGCTTTAAATAAATATATTTTCAAGGTATGATATTGAAAGGCATTAGGACAACTACACCACAGGCATTCTCAGGACAGTTCTGGTCATCCTCCAGCAGCAATATAAGGTCCTCACACACTGTGTGAATTTGAATAGTTAAATATGATTTTAGCAATTTTAAATCTTCATGTTGTTCTGAAATAACCCCAAACTAACAGAGGAGTTGTAAGGACAGTGTGGTGACAGGATTTTGTGGGCTTAAAAAGTTGTCTGGAAATTCCAAACCTCATCTTCTTCAATCAATAGTATGATTTGTATTTTCTACAAAGACATTTTTCTATAAATAGTTTCAAAAATCAGGAAGGCAGTGTGTGAACATACATGTTTTTGTGTGTATGTATTTTTTGTATGTATGTATGTATTTTGTGTGTATGCCTGAGTAAGGGTACATGCATGTCACAGCATGTGTGTAAGACAGAGGACAATTTTCAGAAGTTGATTTTCTCCTTTTACAGTGAGTTCTGGGGATCAAACTCGAGTCATCAGGCTTGCATGGTAAGCACTTCTGCATGAAGAGCCATCTCACAAAAACCAATCAGTTACTCCAGCTATTTCTTTTGTGCAACAAGAGCCAGCATGGCATAGTTGACATTTCTGTAATCCCTTTATGGCTGACACCTTGCACTTGACATATTTATTGGTTACAGATAGTTTTTCTTGTAGAGTACTGTGATGGTTAGCTTTTTATTTCAACTTGACTCAATTTAGAACAGAGATTCCCAGTGGGAGATTATTCATATTGGGTTGGCCTGTGCACATGGCTATGGAGATGTGTCTTGATTACTAGTGTTAGTTGATGAGGGGAAGATGCAGCCCACCCTTGTTGGTGCTATTCCCAAGGCAAGGGGCCTGGGCTGTATCAGACAGTGATTCTCAATCCTCCTAATGCTACAACTCTTTAGTACAGTTCCTCATGTTGTGGTGACCCCAAACATAAAATTATTTCCATTGCTACATCATAACTGTAATTTTGTTACTGTTATGAATCATAATGTAAATATCTGTGTTTCCTGATGGTCTTAGGTGACCCCTGTGAAAGGGTTGCAACCCACAGGAACTATGTTGCTCAACTATGTTCATAGCAACATTATTTATAACAGCCAGAACTTGGAAGCAACCTAGATACCCGTCAACCAAATAATGGATAAAGAAAATGTGGTACATTTACACAATGGAGTACTACCCAGGGGTAAAAAAACAATGACATCTTGAAATTTGCATAAAAAACAGATGGAACTAGAAGAAAACCATCCTGAGTGAGGTAACCCAGACCCAGAAAGACAAACACGGTGTGTACTTACTATAAGTGGATATTAGACATAAAGCAAAGGATAACCAGCCTACAATCCACAGTCCCAGAGAAGCTAGGTAACAAGGAAGACCCTGAGAGAGACGTGCATGGATGCCCCTGGGAAGGGAAAATAGATAAGATGTCCTGAGTAAATTGGGAGCAAGGGGGAGCGGAGTGTATGCAAAGGAGGAGGAGAACATGATGGAAGTGGGGGGAGTGAAGGAGAGGGAGGAGAAGAGCGTGAGGGAATGGGATGGTTGAGTTGAGGGAGGGGCAGAGAGGGAGAGCAAGCAAAGAGATATCTTGACAGAAGGAGCCATTATGGGGTTAGGGGGAAATCTGGTGCTAGGGAAATTGCCAGGATCCACAAGGATGACCCCAGCTAAGACTCCTACCAAGAGTGGAGAGGATGCCTGAACTGGCCTTCCCCTATAATCAGATTGAGGACCGCCTTAACTGTCATCAGAGAGCCTTCATCCAGTAACTGATGGAAGCAGATGCAGAGATTCACAGCTAAGCACTGGGACAAGCTCTGGGAGTCCAGATGAAGAGATGGAGGAGGGATTGTATGAGTAAAAGGGTCAAGATCATGATGGGGAAACCCACAGAGACAGCTGACCTGTGCTAGTAGGAGCTCACTGACTCTGGACCAACAGCTGGGGAACCTGCAATAGGACTGAGCTAGGCCCTAATGGGATGACAGTTGTGTGGCTTGGGCAGTCTGTGGGGGCCACTGGCAGTGGGACCAGGATTTATCCCTAGTGCATAGGAGCCCATTCCCTATGAGGGGATACTTTGCTCACCCTCAAATTCATGGAGGAGGGGCTTGGTCCTGCCTCAACTTGATATGCCATTTTTTGGTGACTCCCTACAGGAGGCCTTACCCTTACTGAGGAGTGGATGGGGGGTTGGGCAGGCGGAAGGTGGGTGGAAGCAGGAGGAAGGGAGGGAGGGGAAACTGGTTGGTATGTAAAAATGAAGAAAAACCTTTTAATTAAATAAAAATTTTGAGAAAGAGTAGAGAAATCAAGCTAAACACAGGCAGGCAAGCAAGCAGGTAAATGTGTGGGTGCGATGAGAATAGCTGCCTTAGCTGTCACCTTGATTACCTCACTGTGACAGACTCTTACCCCTCCCCCACACCCCGTTGGCTTCTAGTCAGGACATTTTATCCCAGCAACAAGAGTGAAGCTAGAACAAGTACCACAGATTTTTTTTTTAAATTTTTTTAATGATTAGATTTGGACTACAAATGTATACATCACAAGTGAAAATACATTATTTTAACGCACAAACTCGGTTTGTCCCATTAATGAGGATGCTCGTCTGGTCACCAGTGTTTGGGAGGGTTGCATAGATTCTCCACTAAAATTAGCCTTCTCTAAGGAGAAAACCTTTGTAATTAAAAAGTATCTTGTGTGACATTACTTGGAAACTATGTAAATATCCTTTTCACTACCAAATATTTAGTTTATTCACTTACATAATATGGACTCAGAGATCTATTATATGTATAGGTCTGTCATTTATTAGTATTTATTTTGATATTTAAATTGCCCCTAGTCAGAGCCCTTTCCAGGTAGCTTCTGTTCCATTTACTATGTCTTCACCATTCTATTGGCACTTGCTTAGTTATGGGTCCAAGATATTTCACACATTCTCTACACTAGTCCTGGCTTCTTTTAGTATAGAATAGTACTTGGATATCATGATCTGTATGATCAGCAGCTAGACATGGTCACTTGCTCTTGGTACTCCTAAGGTGTCTCAGTAGCCAACAGCTAGTTCTCTTTCCCTCCCTCCCTCTGGCTGCCCCTCTCTCTGTCAATCATATATGCATTCATCCCTTCCCACACCTAAAATAGTTTTCTGTTATACAAGATACTTACTGATTATAAACGTATTTCCCTCAGTAGAGGATAACTTTAGTGGGTAATTTCAGATTATTTCATGATTCAATGATACTGTTTCTTCTGGTCCTCAGAGGCTAAATTCCCAGATGCATGTCTGGAAACATGCATAATATGCACATGCTTATGATAATCCTGAGACCTTTGCCTTATCACTTAAGGAAAATACTCAGTGGCTTCCCTGGGACACACCATCATTGTCAGCATCACTATTCTCACACTCTGGGGCACGATTAAGTATTATTTGAACCCAAGAAATGCAATACTTGAGCAGTCAACCTGGAAGCCAATTGATAGCTTTTAAGTAGCTAATGAACAGGAGGGTATATAGTGTGGACACACTAGACAAAGGAGTGATTGTGTCTCAGCCTGCATTATGGCATGAGTTTTAGTTGTGCTATTAAAGATGATGTACAACTTAAAACTTGTTAGATTTAGTTTGAGTATAGTGGAATGAAACTGTGGAAAGATACTGGTAGGGCTAACAGCAATAAGCACTTGTGTCACTCTAAGTAAAGAAGTTTCTCAGTTCATGTCAATACTTTACTTGCCATGTCACAAACATTAGTTCTGG